TCTCGCGTTGATGTTATTAGTCTAAATTCCATTCTAAGTGAAGGATGTGGGTTCATGTCTCATAACTTTAAAGCCAAACTTGCTTCCATATGTACTTAAAGATGTTTACGAATATGCAACTTGTGCTGTCAAAGAAAATCCTTGCTTAATTTGTCCTGTAATTCGTACTTACCATTACAAGTACTTAGGTGTATACTGCAATTGAAAGAAGCCATCTTTGGCACACTAAAAGTGCGTGGAACAAATTCGGATCCTCTCCACTACAAAAAGGCAGTGTAAAGATCACTTTATTATTATAATCATTAATTATCTAGTGGGTGATGATGATTTTTCTTTGAGTGCAAATTATGAATTAATGCAATTCATGGAGGTATAATGAGTGTTAAATTTAAAACAAATCATATTTGTCCACTAGGTATTAATGATTATGATCAAAACTAGTGGTTCATCCACTACTTTTACTTTTTTGCAGTGGAGAGGATCCAAATCCCGATTTGAAATCAAGAGTCTTATTTAAGTTTTTAAGGCTTATACCCTGGGGGTCTCTTTGCCAATGTGAAGATACAGTAGAAATAAATCAACTCGGTTCATAACTTTTGTCCCTACAGTTGGAGTAACAGATCTATTTTATCCAATTGATTTACATGCTCTATTTGGATGAAAGATGAAATGTTTGGCAATAAAAATTGATAGGTAAACAATAAAGGAAATATTTGTAACAACAACAAACACTAAAATCAAGTGGAATAACTTACAGGTGAAAAAAAAAATCTTATTGCTCATTATTTCTCTTGGTTGGCTATCAGGACAAACCATGATGCTAATCAAAAGTATGACCAAACAGAGCCTTGTCTTTGGACTTCCAGTAGGGGAAACAAAGAAAAATAATAACAACTTTAGAAACACTGTTGGGATTGAACTCACAACCCGTACCCTTCCGGATCTTGTGACGAAAGTAAGCAAGAAAGAAATCACATCAAATAAAAAATAGAGCTTGCAAGAAAGAATAAGCAAAAGAGAAAAAATCAGATTTAACGAGGTTCAGCAAACGTGCCTACGTCCTCGGGAGCCACACCACAAATTCTTGATTAATTGAAGAAGATTACAATGCTCACAAATAGGTTTTCTCTCTCTCAGATATCATTCTCAAAGTCCTCTCAAAACCCCTCTTTTTCGTGTTCAAATAACCCTAAAATCGTTTACGTATATATAGCATCCCAGAATGTTGGTTTTTGCAGGGTTTCACGTGCAGTCAACCGGTGCCACTGCTTCAGTCGACTGATTGGTCACTCTCGGTTGACCGACAACACAACTTTGATCGACCGGCCAGAGCATGTTTTTAGGGTTGTTTTCCTACAGTTGTTTCGGCCGACTGATCCTTTCTCTTCGGTCGACCGAACTGGGTTTTTCCAGTTTTCTTCGTTGATTTGATTCCAGGTTTGGTCTACACTCTCGAGACTAACAATAGAGGCATGACCTAGTTTCTTGTTGGGTTGTGTGGGTTGATTCCTTGGCTTTCTAATCCTAAATCCTTTATTTGTGCTTTTTTTAAATAGAATTATTTCTAGTGGATTCATGGAATTCGGACAATTTTAGCTGCACTTGCTTTAGCATGACAGAGTTCATGCACGATGAGTTCCCATTTGGCGTTGAACTGGATGAAATCATGGAAGGAGTCGACAGAAAGAGGAAATGGGGTTAGATTTGGCTGGTATACTAGCTATTACTGATCCAGCAAGAGAACTTAATGTTTGTAGGCTAACATGAATTAATATTGAGTGATCATTTTATATATATGGAGCGTTAATGGATGAATTGCTATCTGAGTTTTGCCTTTGAAATATCTCTCTCCATCGAAAGAAATATCTTGTTGGATTATGAAAGTTGAAATCCACAGAATGTCTAGATTTTGACAAATGTGAATTGTATCAAGAAAGATTCAAGGTCTTGGGTGGTATTGTGAGAAACTGATGAAAGTAAAGAATTCTCAACTTTGATTTCTAGAAGCTTATTGTCTTCCCGCCAACCTCCATTCTGTCCATCACAATGAGTTGAAATAGAAAGTTTGAATATCTTTCATTGAAAAACACTTGACAAAGGTAAAATTAGAAACCAAAATAAGGAATCCACACGTACGGTCAAACTTTGTGAGCAACCTGGAAAGTGAGAAGATCCCTTCAACTTGTAGAAAACATGCCAATTTTAGCCAGCATGAATTTTTGTTGTTTCTTTTACAGTCTTTAATGCATTTAAATCTTAAAATTCTAATTACTTACTACGTACCAACATACCAACTTCCCATGCAATTCACAATACCTTGGTATATATGTGTCTGAATATTGTCACTCCAAAGCGGGGGAAAAGAAGAGGAAGAAGAAGAATAAAGAAAGAAAGAAAGAAAGAAAGAAAAAAGATGAGTTAAAAGTTTTAAACAGGCTGCATATGTAAATTTGGTGGTTTTGGGTTTGGATCAGGGTCAACCTTAAATCTATCCAGTTTTAATTTAATTTGAGATTTTCTAAGTCTAATCTCAGTTCCTTCCCAGCCATAGACTCATACTTATTTGAATGGGTGCGAACTTTGTGGGTAACTAACAATGTCTAAATTTGAGATATTTCAGGGCTTAAAATGGTAAACATCACCTGAAACTTCATGCATGAAGAGATTCAGATAGATGTAGGATATAGCCTTGGGTCATAAAGCATACCATAGTGATGGAAGTTTGAAAATTTTGACCAAACAACAATTTGACCCAATTTACACTTGGGTACTACTCTTGATCGCCAAAAAGGCGAAAGTTGCTTCAAAATCATGACATCCTTCATACAGATGCCCCATTATTTGACATTGCCGAGTCTGTAGGACGTTTACATTGGAGTCAAGCATAGAAATTTTAAACAATCAAGCATGATGGTTCTGCACTCCTCCTCTCCCTCTACTTTTTCAGCCTGCATGTGTCTCTAGCCATGCATGGTTTGCACACTCACTGAGTGGGTGGGTGGTTGTGTGCGCTTATTTGTTGTGCGCATACATGCACATGCAGGCCGGTGTGTGGGGGTCTGGGCTGTGGGTTTGTGTTTGTGGGCATGCATATGGGTTTTTTGTTGCATGCACGCATATATGTAGACATGTGTGCGCTTTTCACTGCTCTATGAATTCTTATTTTTTTTCATTAATTTGAAAATGCATGTATATATGCATGTATATGCTAATTATGCGTCAGTGTTTACTACTCTGCAAATTGCTATTTTCCCATTTGAAAGTGCAGTACTTGTGGGGGGGGGGTACGGGTATTTGCTCATGCGTTTTTTTACTGCCCTGCAAATTGCTAATTTTTTTGTTTGAAAATGTACACTCATGTATGCACGTGTGTTCATAGTACTTACCTCATTTGCAGGTTCGCGTTTGTTCACTTCTCTGCTAATTGCTGTTTTTTTTTTCTTTTGAAAATGTAGTACTTAATTATCTCACAACTTTTACCATTTGTGATTGCGGGCTTGTTCGTGCTGTTCTTCAGAGTTGGATCTCAAAAAAGTTTATGACTGGCCGGTACGACCTTGGTTTTCTTGTCTACTTCGACGACTTACGTATCGATCAGTCACCTTTGTTTCATTACTAACATTGTTTTTTGACTTTTTATGGTGCAGTGTGGTTCTGTTTCCTGTTGCAGTCACATTATTCGTTACGTGGTGGTTTATTCAATTTATTGATGGCTTCTTCAGTCCACTATATGAAAGGCTTGGTGTTGATATATTTTGTCAGCTCCTGCTACATTTTATATAAAATCACTGTCATAAATCTTTGCATGCTGACTAATGATTTAAGTCTCAGTTGCCATGCATTTGCATCTATTATAATTAATTGTCTCAGCAGTTTTGTACATCATTATGAGGTTAAACGCCACTATAATCTCAGTATGCCAGCCTACACAGTTAGGAGAGCAGGCATGGTACAAATACGTACCGATGAATGCAAAGATGATTCTTGTTCCTATTTTCATTTTATAAAAATCTCTATCATATGCTGGCCCTATCCTTGTGGAGAGTTTTACTTACGAATAAATTTTCAAAATGGCCTCAAACCAACTTTTTTTTCTTCTAAAACTAACCCTCTTATGTTTTTATTACAAAAACAGACTCACTTTCTGGCCACGTCAGCACCGTGGTCAGAAAGTGGGTCTATTTTTTTAAACAGTTTCCTAATTAGTTGGGGTTGCCAACCCCGACTAATTTGCAAGTTGCAACTGAGGTGTAAATTAGTCGGGGTTGGTAACCCCGACTAATTAGGAAAGTGTTTAAAAAAATAGACTCACTTTCTGGCCACGGTGCTGACGTGGCCAGAAAGTGAGTCTGTTTCTGTAATAAAAACGTAAGAGGGTCTTGTTTTAGAAAAAAAAAATTGGTTTGAAGCCATTTTGAAAAATTCTTCTTTTACTTACTTATATGCTGGATAGAATATTCTCTTTAGTAACCGTCGAGTCTTCTCTAATTAGTAATTAGAGTACTGAAATAAGAAAGAAACAATAATGATATATTATAAAGGAATAAATTTTATTTATGAATTTAGTAATATTTGAAAATCAAATTCTTTAGCGGAATAATATATACTTTGATATTCGATAAGTATTCGTGAATATTTATCAAATACCAAGTATTCAAGTTTGAATTCGAGAAACTAGATATATGAATATTAGATTCCGCATTCGAATTTGATAATTTTAAAGAAATACGAATATGAGCGACTTAGCATTCGATTCGATCGTTTATCATCCTTAATCCTCATGCTCCACACACACCACCTTCCCAAAAAAAAAGACAGTGGGCCCCACTTGAATATTCCGCATCTCAATTCCACGTGTCCAGCTGTAAGACGGTAGTCACCGAAGCGATTGGGCTCATACGAAATACCCCAGTAGACCAAGTCAAAAGTCAAGACTAGGACCATCCTCAGGGGTATTTTCGTCTTTCACCGTCTTACTGCAGTGTACTTCCCAAATTTCTCCGCAAAAATTTTGGCGCATCAGATCGATCACGGAGAGAGAAATTTTGAGAGAGGGAAAAATGGCGGAAGAGAAGGAGTCGACTTCGATCCCGTTGAGCCAAGCGGTGGATCCCGAGGATCCCGCCAAATCTCCACCAACTTCCCCCAATTCCTCAACCCGAAAGGTTCACCTTAGATCTCTCTCCTTTTTTTTTCGCTCTTTTGAGAAAAATTAGGTTCTTTTTTTTAATATCGTGAATCGATTTAGTTATGATCTGATTTTATTAAGTAATATATGTGAGGTGGCGCTTTATTGTTAAGATTCGATATTTTCTCGATTTTTTAATTTAATCAGTATAACGAACAATTTATCAATTCGAAATGATTGGTGGTCGATTTTCTGAGAAATTAGGTATGAAACTGATTAACTAGGAAAATTTTATAAGATAATGACGGCGATCTGTAAATTTCGGCAATCGTCCTACCGATGATGGATTTCTAGTGACAAAAAGTCGTCACTCCTAGCTTAGGTAATTCTTGGTTAATAATAGAGGCAAGACCTAGTTTCTTGTTGGGTTCTGTGGGTTGATTCCTTGGCTTTCTAATCCTAAATCCTTTATTTGTGCTTTTTTTTAAAAAGAATTATTTCTAGTGGATTCATGGAATTTGGACAATTTTTGCTGCACTTGCTTTAGCGTGACAGAGTTCACGCACGATGAGTTCCCATTTTGCGTTGAAGCGGATGAAATCATGAAAGGAGTTGACAGAAAGAGGAAATGGGGTTAGATTTGGCTGGTACTAGCTATTACTGATCCAGTAAGAGAACTTGATGTTTGTAGGCTAACATGAATATTGGGTGGTCATTTTATACGGAGCGTTAATGGATGAATTTCTATCCGAGTTTTGCCTTTGAAATATCTCTCCATCGAAAGAAATATCTTGTTGGATTGTGCAGGTTGATGTCCACAGAATGTTTGGATTTTGATAAATGTGAATTATATCAAGAAAGATTCGAGGTCTTAGGTGGTATGAGTCAGGGTCTTGCTTTGAGTAATTGGTCTGGTCAAACCTTATTGTGAGAAATGGATGAAAGTAAAGAATTCTCAGCTTTGATTTCTAGAAGCTTATTGTCTTCCTGCCAACCTCCATCTGTCCATCACAATGAGTTGAATTTTGAAATAGAAAGTTTGAATATTTTTCATTGAAAAACACTTGACAAAGGTAAAATTAGAAACCAATAAGGAATCCACACGGTCAAACTTTGTGAACAACCTGGAAAGTGAAAAGATCCCTTCAACTTGTAAAAAACATGCCAATTTTAGCCAACATGAATTTTTGTTTTTTTCTTACAGTCTTTAATGCGTTTAAATCTTTAAGTTCTAATTACTTACTACGTACTAACATACCAACTTCCCATGCAATTCACAATACCTTGGTATGTGTCTGATTGTCACTCTAAAGGGGCGAAAAAGAAGAAAGAAGAAGAAGAAGAAAGAAAGAAAGAAGAAAAGATATGTTAAAAGTTCTAAACAGGTTACATATGTAAATTTGGTGGTTTTGGGTTTGGATCAGGGTCAACCTTAAATCTATCCAGTTTTAATTTAATTTGAGATTTTCTAAGTCTAATCTCAGTTCCTTCCCAGCCATAGACTCATACTTATTTGAATGGGTGCGAACTTTGTGGGTAACTAACCTGAGACAAAACCGTAATGGTAATGTCTAAATTTGAGATATTTCAGGGCTTAAAATGGTAAACATCACCTGAAACTTCATGCATGAAGAGATTCAGATAGATGTAGGATATAGCCTTGGGTCATAAAGTATACCATAGTGATGGAAGTTTGAAAATTTTGACCAAACAACAATTTGACCCATTTTACACTTGGATACTCTTGACGCCAAAAAGGCAAAAGTTGCTTCAAAATCATGTCATCCTTCATACGGCTGCCTCATTATTTGGCATTGCTGAGTCTGTAGGACGTTTACATTGGAGTCAAACATAGAAATTTTTAACAATCAAGCATGATGACCTCTCCCTCTACTTTTTCAGCGTGCATGTGTCTCTAGCCATGCATGGTTGCACACTCACTGTGTGGGTGGGTGGTTGTGTGCGCTTATTTGTTGTGCGCATACATGCACATGCAGGTGGGTGTGTGGGGGTCTGGGCTGTGGGTTTGTGTTTGTGCGTATGCATATGGGTTTTTGGTTGCATGCACGCATGTAGACACGTGTGCGCTTTTCACTGCTCTATGAATTCTTTTTTTTTCTTTTGAAAATGCATGTATGCATGTATATGCTAATTATGTGTGTCAGTGTTACTACTCTGCAAATTGCTATTTTCCCATTTGAAAGTGCAGTACTTGTGTGTGTGTATGGGGGGGGGTACGGGTGTTTGCTCATGCGTTTTTTTACTACCCTGCAAATTGCTATTTTCTTATTTGAAAATGAATACTTATGTATGCACGTGTGTTCATAGTACATACCGCATTTGTAGGTTCGCGTTTGTTCACTTCTCTGCTAATTGCTGTTTTTCCTTTTGAAAATGTAGTGCTTATCTCACAACTTTCACCATTTGTGATTGCAGGCTTGTTGTGCTGTTCTTCAAAGTTGGGTCTCAAAAAAGTTTATGACTGGCTGGTACAACCTTGGTTTTCTTGTCTACTTTGACGACTTATGTATCAGTCACCTTTGTTTACTAACATTGTTATTTGACTTTTACGGTGCAGTGTGGTTCTGTTTCCTGTTGCAGTCACATTCTTCATTACGTGGTGGTTTATTCAATTTATTGATGGCTTCTTCAGTCCACTATATGAAAGGCTTGGTGTTGATATATTTGGTTAGCTCCTGCTACATTTTCTTTATATAAAATCACTGTCATAAATCTTTGCATGCTGACTAATGACCTAAGTCTCAGTTGCCATGCATCTATTGTCTCAGCAGTTTTGTACATCATGATGAGGTTAAACACCACTATAATCTCAGTATGCCATCCTACTCAGTTAGGAGAGCAGGCATGGTACAAATACCGATAAATGCAAAGATGATTCTTGTTCCTATTTTCATTTTAAATCTCTATCATATATTGGCCCTATCCTTGTGGAGAGTTTTACTTATGCTGGATAGAATATTCTCTTCAGTAACTGTTGAGTCTTCTCTAATTAGTAATCACTGTACTAAAATAAGAAAGAAACAATAATGACTTCTTTTCACCATCATGGAGACTTGCATCATGATTTTAGACCTTGTGTCATATTTGCGCTAATGTCGAGAAACTTCATTGTATGGGCTGTATTATAGGAAATTGAGATCGTAGCTCTATCCTTGAGGAAAATCTTACTTATCTTGGATAGAATATTCTCTTCTATTTTAAATATCTTCCTAATGTTGAGTCTTCTCTAATAACTATTTTAAAAAATAAAAAGGAAAAATAATGGCTTGTTTTCTCATCATTGAGCTTGCGTCATATTTGCCAATGTGGCAAGAAACTTCACTGTCTGGACTCTTGGCTATATTGTAGGAAATTGATATCACAATTGACTGCTGCACTGTATCTGTTTGCTTATTTCTGCACCTATTCATATGAATTCTGGTCTACTATGTGGTTAAATAGCTATGGCATATTTTATTGACTGATTGAAAACCCTTTTGATTGCTATACATTCAGTTAAGATATCCAAAGTATAATGTATACAAGGAAAGCATGGACGATATATGATAGGAATAAAAATCTGAGTTAATAACTTAATATTCTATTAGAAGGAGATAAATTGTAAATCTCACCGATCCAAAAGTGCATGGATGCTCATCTAAATTGAAAGCCTGTGTCAAACATGCCTTGAGATAGAAACTAACCTGCTTTGAAATTTAATTATGAACCAGAATTTATGGTTCTCAGTATCAAGTTGAATTTTATAATCACCTTGTACCCTGTTTTTCTACTTTCTTCATAGGGGGGCAGGACCAGAGAGAGCGAGAATTTCCATGAATGTGAGCATGTGATGTCCTGGACAAAATGAGTAATAACTGCCTAGAATATGCTGTTGCCTCCACTATATGAAACTTCAGCAGGCAGTAGAATAACACCTATTGTCAAGTAATATACCTGAACTTGAGTTTTATAGGAAGGCTTTTGTTGTTTTCCTTTGCGTGGATACAGTGGGGATAGGTAAGTTTCCCACCGGGATAACTGTGGGGTTTAATATTTTATGATACATCACTAGGAAGTGGTTAAAGACTAACTGTGCCTTCACAGGGAGATGGAGGGAATGGGGAACACTAAACTAACAACCTTTCACTCATTTACTCAGATGCACAAGCATGCATACATTGAATATGATAACTTGGACTAAAAGATTAGCTACTATAACTATAGGCATACTTTGAGTAAATTTTGAGGTTCCATGAATTTCAGAGGTTAGGGTACCAGATCCGAACTCATCTCTAATTGAAAATTTATCTTACTTGAATTTTGTACGAACTTGACATTCACTTTCCTAAAGATAATTAACATTGCATCTATTCTTGGTTTTGTAACTAATCCTGTGTTCTTTGCTTTGTATTCCAGGCCTAGGATTTTTGACCTCTCTATTATTTGTTTTCCTCATCGGCATATTTGTTTCATCATGGCTGGGTTCCACTCTTTTCTGGCTCGGTGAATGGTTTATAAAGAGAATGCCATTTGTTAAGCACATTTATTCAGCATCCAAGCAAATTAGCACTGCCATTTCGCCAGGTATTAATTTTTTATTTTATTTTTGCAAAATATTTACCTTGTTTTCCACACTTCCTATTTTGATGGATTAGCATGGATGCTGGCGCTTTTTTATGTCTGCAGTACTTGTATAATGGGGCTAATGTCGCAAGACCCCCCTGAAATTTTTTATCTCATATACACCCCAAACTTTGGGGTGCCTCACCAAAACCCCTGAACTTTACACTTCTCTCACTGGACGTAATTGGCAAATAACTAAAATGTCCTCAAGAGAAGAAAAGAAAAACCCCAATTGAGGGAAGAGGAGGTAGATTGCCTGTAATGCAAATAACTAAAGTGGAATTTTTTTTAATCTCAGGGGCATTTTGGTTATTTTTCAGTTATAGGTAGGATGTCCTGTGAGAAAAGTGTAAAGTTGATTTAGCTTGCATATCAAATAAGTCATGCACTTCTAAGTTCTCAAGGAATACAGTTCTTTACTCCTAGTATTTAGATCTGATGAATGTTATCAATCATTCATTGGAAAATGTATATATGTATATGTGGACCCACCTACCAAATCACAGAGTCGAGTACATACAATCTCTTGAGTGTGTTTCTGCATGTAGCTCTTGTGTTTCTTGTATACTGTAACGAGCATCTTTTACACAGATCAAAATACTACCGCCTTCAAAGAAGTGGCAATTATTCGTCATCCACGAATTGGGGAATATGCCTTCGGTTTCATCACATCAACAGTGATCCTTCAGGTACCACCAAGATGTCAAATTATTGCCCGTCTCCGCTTCAACTTGCAACTGTGAAACAAATATTGCCATGTTGTCTCGTTTTAGTTGAGAAATGGGAAATTCACTTAAGATAAGTCTGTGGTTTAACAAATTAATGCAAAATGAGAAGTGCAAATTGTGACTTAACATGGGAATGGGAAACGGGAAATGAAACATCTTGCCAGTAAGTTATTGCACTTACTTCTGTGACTTACAATTAATTACTTGTGACATCTTAATCGGCATATTATTGAAAAATAACTAAGTTATTACACTCAGTGCAAGTAAGTTATTTCACTTACTTCTGTGAGGCGTGAATCCACCAATTACTATGAAGAAAAGGAAGAGTTGAAAACTTCTCCATGTTCAATTGCTCGAGGAAATTTGGATAACAAAGAATAAAAAAATGAGGAACTTGGTACATCTTTCTGTTCCTACTTTTTTCTTTGAAAAGAATCAAAATTAGGAAAGAAATAAACCAATTTACCGTGAAACTATTGATTTCCCCATATTATCACAACCAAAATCAGCCCGCAAACTTGTTTTAATTTGTTGGTTACGCTAACAATTATTATCTGTTATTATTACTGCACCTGCAATAACAACTGAAACTGCAAATATTATTTCCAACATCTGAGTTTTCTTTGCTGGAATAATCTGACTCTCTACTAGCCACCATCCACCATCTGTTGCTATATTGATGCATTTGTTCTTATCAATATTGCAGTTCTTGCTACTGTGCCCACAACCCTCTGACTTCTGTCAGTGCCAATGCCAACATTATCATAATTATTGTTCTATTTTCTCCATTGCCATGAGAAACAGTTTTTTTAAACTTAGAAACTATAAAATGATTCTCTTCTTTCAATGACAATTTAACCAATCGCAGAATTAAGAGTCTAATGGTTTATTCTTTTTCAGTTCCTTTTCATCTCCTCTTTATCTTCTCTGTCTCATCATCGTCATCCCCACCCCCACCCCCACTTCCCCAAAACACACACAAACCCCTCCAAAATATAGTAATATAATATCATTTACACATGCATCTCGTGAGAACTAAGAAGGAAGATGATTATTGAAAGACAGTTTTAGTTATTAGTTCACCTATATAAGCAGTGATATGATATGAAACTCACAAAATATCTTTCTCTCTAATTTGAAAGGACGGCTTACTTGGTGTTTTTATTATTTTACGGGTGGAGGTTACCATCTTCCAATTGTGTTGCTGTAATGCTCCTTTACACTGCACTCTATATTGTTTAAAACTTACTTTGGTGTTTGTATGTTATAATGTAATATTATTTTTTTCTGCCTTTTAATATGTGAGGTTTCATAATGTCTTTCTAGTATTTAGTTAAGTTATTTTAGTTCATTTGTCTATTTTTTTGTTGCAGAACGAGAAGGGTGATGAAGAGTTATGCAGTGTTTATGTTCCTACAAATCATCTATATATTGGAGATATATTGTTAGTTAATTCTGAAGAGATTATTAGGCCAAATCTGTCAATTCGTGAAGGAATTGGTTTGGCTCCTTTGTCTCTTTTGTACTCTCTTTATTTATTTCATTTCCTCCTAATAGGTATATATGAAAATCAGAGCTTCATTTCCAGGCATCTCCTTATTACAATTTTCTGCAAGGAGCAAGCATGTGTATTAGTGTAAATAAAAAAATGAAAAAAGTATGTGTCTTGTCAGGAAGTGAAAGATAGCTGAGTTACATTCTTAATTATCTGGTATCCTTTACTCTTATATCATTTGATACCCTTCGTACATTCCCTGGTCTCATTTTTTAACACAAAATCTTCTTCTTTTGGGTAAATTTCAGTGGCATTTTCGAAGTCTAGGGGGGTTATCTCAAATTTTTTAAAGTTTTGTGAAATTTACCCTTTTCTTTTTCCCACACTATTATTCCCTTGGTATCATTTTCTAGCCAGTGGAACACGGTTTATAGTAGGGTATACTAGAAATTTTCTGACGCTAGGGTAGCCATTTAGTTATATTTGATAAACCTGCTTTTATGTAAAAGAAAATCCATCTCCCTATGTGTATTTCCCATATTCTACAATGGTGTGTTTCTTGTTTCTTATGCTTTGATGTTTCTTATGATTATTTTTGGATGCAATGTAGAGATCATAGTTTCTGGAGGGATGACCATGCCACAACTGATCACTCCACTAGAGAGGATTCCTCGTAAGAATCTCAGCATCCAATTGAACAGAATACAGTAACTCATGGAGCGCTCTTAAGGTATGTCACAGTTCTCATTCTCAGTGTTACCAAATTTTGAGTTCTTTATTTGTTTCGAGCAACTTTTTCCCAGATCGAGTTGTACATTAGCATCCCATATTGCCTACAGATAAAAACTTCGGTTGAAACCCTATACAGTCCTACCTAATCCATCCCTGATAACCAGTTATAGCCAAGGTTTCAGATCTGTTCATTTCTACTTGGTTGACTATATGAAAAGTATCCGGTTACAAGTAGCGCACTTGCCTATTCATTGTATAATCTGTCTTCTTGTTGCTGTAAATCTAGATCATAGACATTTCAATTTATCGATTTTATTTTCCATCCTTCTGTTTTAGGTGGTGGTGTTGCAATGATGGGCTATCAGAATAGCAAAAGTAGATGAGGATGTAATCTTCAATCCTAAAGACAGGGCTATTCCGAGACGTGCTGGATCGACAGTGGATATGTTTGCTTGATTTTGTTTTAATCTTTTTGTACTGTTACGTCTTTAGGCCCAATTTGTAAGTGTAATTGTTCTACAATCATGGTTTGTAACCTTTGTGATGTGTAATGTACAGGAATGCAGGTTGGCATTCATTTTCTCTAGACATTGGAACTCCAGCTCGCCAGCTGGGTTCAAAATGGAACTGCACTCATTGTGGCGTGCAGTTGTATGGATATGTGAACATGGGAGATTAATTGGATTTGTATTCTCGAGCTAAATCTTCATTTCCTTGGCCAATAGTAGGTCAAGAAATATTGAATGGTGTTGTGGGTGGCGGTTTCCGAGGATTACAAATAACCTCCGGGTTTTTTTTTCCTCCAGATTTGGCGAGCATATGGATTAACTACTGAATTACTTACAACTCTATTGTACCTCAATTGGGGCATTGGTCTTCACATTTTTAATGCTTTTTACCGGTTGGTTCCATTATCACAAAGCGGCCCGGCTTGGTTCCAAGATGTAGAGCCAACCTTTTCTTCTGAATTTGGACCAGCAATATGCGTAGTGAGCTGGGCGTCACGGTCATAAATAAATGAGGAATATTAAATGAGAGCCCCAGGCATCGCAAGCTGGAGTAGCTCAGTTGGTTAGAGCGTGTGGCTGTTAACCACAAGGTCGAAGGTTCAAGCCCTTCCTCTAGCGTGTTAAATTTCTTTTTAAAATACTAAAAAAGAAAGTTTCTCTCTTCTATATATATAATGCATCTTTATTACATAATAGCATTTTTAAACTTTTACGTGTTATCTTACATTTTACAGATAGCTAAGACGCATCCGTACCAAACAAACATATATATTGCTTGCATTGGAACTCCAGATTAAAATCAGAACCTTTCAACGAGATAAATTTTTTTTCCCCGAGTCTTTCTAAATGGAATATGATCCAAAAACTTACGTCATGATTTGTTAACTTTGTAAAAGTGAATATTTCCACGTTCCACATTCATGACACTTTTTTAGAAATATTATTGATATTAAGTAGCAAGAAAATTTTATATCCAACATTTGCATATTTTGTACATGTCACATATTCCACAAAATGGATGTACTTTCACCGTTCACAAAACCCTTTAGCACGTCTGACAATTGCTTTTTCAGATAATATCAATTTTGTCATTAAAAAAATATGACATCTGTAGCTCAGTTGGTTAGAGCGTGTGGCTGTTAACCACAAGGTCGAAGGTTCAAGCCCTTCCTCTAGCGTGTTAAATTTCTTTTTAAAATACTAAAAAAGAAAGTTTCTCTCTTCTATATATATAATGCATCTTTATTACATAATAGCATTTTTAAACTTTTACGTGTTATCTTACATTTTACAGATAGCTAAGACGCATCCGTACCAAACAAACATATATATTGCTTGCATTGGAACTCCAGATTAAAATCAGAACCTTTCAACGAGATAAATTTTTTTTCCCCGAGTCTTTCTAAATGGAATATGATCCAAAAACTTACGTCATGATTTGTTAACTTTGTAAAAGTGAATATTTCCACGTTCCACATTCATGACACTTTTTTAGAAATATTATTGATATTAAGTAGCAAGAAAATTTTATATCCAACATTTGCATATTTTGTACATGTCACATATTCCACAAAATGGATGTACTTTCACCGTTCACAAAACCCTTTAGCACGTCTGACAATTGCTTTTTCAGATAATATCAATTTTGTCATTAAAAAAATATGACATCTTTATTAGCAAAAAATGATAAGTGACTCGAAAAATTTGTCTCGTTTATCACCTGTAAAGCTATATAGTAAGCAATATTATGAACGGATCTGCTCCGAATTATCACGCCTAAAATATTAGATACGCACAAGATTGTATATTTGTAATTGCAAATATATTCTACAAAACTAAGTTGTCGGTTCCTCTCTATTATATTTCATAACATTCAAGAACCACAATGTCTTCATGCTAGCCATTTAATCAATAAACCAGAGAACCAAATCATACTTATTGGTACAGCTACAAAACTTAGGAAGCTCCAACAAAAACAACCGGAAACAAAGACAACGGCATTACTTCAAGACCCAAAAACCATAGTAAACCAAGCCACTCTTGTCCAAAAAAAAAGAAGAACATGAACTTTGAGAGCAACTAAGAAGACAGAAGAGCAAGATGAGTTCAAAAAAAAGTTAACACAGCTGGTCTTGAATATAATTAAGCCTTCTTTCTCACAACTTTCCAGGGGGGATTTAGATACTCTGAAGCTGGGAAAAGGAAATTCTGATTACTGAACGGTTGATGGTGCTCGCATGCTTGCATACGAGAGCCTCAGTTGCCTGCTCCTCATCGTCAAACAAGACCAAAGCTTGTGTCTTTCCGTTCACTTCGAAAAGCTTGCTGTTAATAATGGTCCCATGCTCCTCCAAATGGGTCAAAAGATCATCCTCAGCGATGTCCTGAGGGAGGGAGGAGATATGGATCATCTTCGTTGGAGAGCAGCAGTATCGATAGTTCTTTACTGCATTGTTGTTGAAGCGGTTAAGGCTGGATCCTGTGTACTCGTGGACATCAGAGGATGGGGTTATGTGTGGGAACTTTGAGAAATTCACCTCCATCCTCTTACCAAACAACATAGCTCCCTACAACCGAAGAGTGAGAAAAGAGAGGTGAACTTAAACATCAACAGAAAGGTGCCATAGTATTTGGTAGTCTCAGACATGAAACGGGTTCCAATTCTATGCTTCCAAAAGATGGGGGCAGGAGTATTATTCAATGCAACAAGACTATACATGCAGACGACTATAATGCTCAGAAATTGCAAGAATAATAATAGGCTGACTCGCAACCCTCGGAATGACATCATACATGAAAATGTTGGATGGAGGTTTTGTGGGTCATAACAAATAAAAGTTAGGAGAAGGGCTTAGGTTTTCAAGAATAATTTAGTTATTAGGTTGAAGTCCAGGGGTTCATGCATGGGCCTGACAGCTGAGAAGCACTGAGCATATATAATGAGAAATAAAACTTAAGGCGAGGAGAAATAATAAAGACTTGACAAGAGGAAACCTTTAAGAAGTGCATAGCCAGCTCTGCCTGAAAACCATCCCCCATTTGAACAAGCGCATGATCGGGCTTATTGCGCAACAATTTGATTCTCACAATGTTGCCATATATAGAGAACAAGTTGAAGAGCTTGTCTTCGTCAATTTTCTGCAATAAAAAAAAGGTCAGAGAACAGGCTTTGAATAGAGCTGGCAAACACTAAAACAACTTAGAACTTACATCAGGATCCAAGTTAGTGACCAATAGTGTGCACCTATCGTTTGTACCAGTCACTCCAGGAGGCAAGCTACCACCAAATGCAGCTAAAATTGCACCCATCTAAGGGGGGGAAAAGGTTCAACAATTTAACATGAAAAGGAGCTCATCGAAACATACTTAAAAATATAACTGGAGTAACGGTTGAAACCAAATTAACCAAAAGTGAAGAAAATAAAAATGGCACTTGAAACAGGAAAACCTGCATAACAGCAATACCAACCTGTCCATATGCACCTGATGCAAGAAAGGGAGACAACAAAGACTAGTAAGCATCACGACAACAAGGGAGGACCCTAAAATTAGTGATAAATCAAGAGAACCAACCTCTGCCGCCGTGCGGTTGATATCCATAATAGCCACCATCACCGTATCCAGCCTGGTATAAACATGAACGAAATGAAAGAATGTTACCACATCAAGACAAGCATCAAGGGAATATAAACAAAACATAATCAAAAAAGTATTAAACACATAAATATATACAAGGTTCCATACAAGCAGCTGAAAAACAGACTGAAACCAGATGAATAAACAAGAAGCAACTTACTTGTGAAGACCGGCCCCTTTGTTCAGTTGGTAAGGAGGAATTAGTGAAATCTCTGAACAAAGGAAATGAACATCTTCCGTAAGATGCAACAAATTCTGGGAAACTAATAAATGTAACGGGCAAAAGAAAACAAGTACTAAAGCAGAACAAGCAACATGAAGAAAAGAAGCCATCATCCTCATCTAAATCTCCCTTTATACACACTATTATTCATGCCTTCCAAGCTAAAACAAAATATCATTTGGATGTTTAGAGCAAAGGAAATAAATGGTTTTTGCTAAATTATGAAGAAGTTTTTGCCTAGCCAAGTTAGTGAGCTTCCCAAGGCCTTAGCAACCTTAGTTACGAATCTTATGACTCAATCTACTTAAAAGATAGAAGATACCAAAGTTTTCCTTGGGTACCAGGAATGCTAAACATTCATTCTCTGTATAGTTTTTGCAATGATACACACTCTAGTTTTAGTAGAAATTATCATAATTCGCAGTGGGTATTAACAATAATTACTATCCATTGAATGGAAGCAATAGTCTGTGTTCTGCTTTTAGGGAAGCTCTCTCACAACAGCGTCTTCTAGGGTATATACTAAAATGGAAAAAAATGTTATGATATCTCATACGTTATGGGTCTTCTTCCACATTTTTAAGCTTCTTAAAATTAACGGTTTTTTCTCTCCTAGAAACAACATTTAAAATAGTCATTCTACAGTAGCCACCTTTGATTGACAGTTTATGCATAAATCACCTTTAAAGCATGACTTATTGCAATCAACCATATGGGCCAACCTTTCAGTAAGGTCCTTTCGGTAATTGATCCCACCAAACCCCCATTAATGATCATATCTCTAATGTATTTGGTATTTGACAACTAATTATTACACAACAAAAGAACTTAATTGAAAAGTGAACCCTGATGGTTGATTGCAACAAAAATCTGTTTAAAGGTGGTCTATGAATAAATTGACAATCAAAGTTGGTTTTTTGTAGAATGACTCTATTTTAAAAGTGGTTTCTTGGGGGAAACCTAAAATTAATGCAGAGCTCACTAAAGCCTCGCGCAACCTTACAACTAACCCTAATAGTTCTTTAGGATTTTTGAATGTTAAGCCAAAGTCAAATTTCTTTAATTAAGCTCTACATGGAAACCCTCAACTTTGAACTGATCAGAATTGACATACCACAATAACAAACCCAAAAAAAGCCTACAGGACCCTCTTTCCAAGTAGAGAACAAAGATGTAAAAAAAATGCTATTTAATTATGAGTAAACAAAAGCTAGCATAGGCTAGTATACCTTGATCGCTCATTGTTGTAATTAACTTGCAGTTCACTGAGACTGTGCATTGGACAGGGGAAACGAATTAGTAAGACATCCAGAAAACAAACATATTTCACTCATGAAAGATTTATAGTATGCAGGAGGGTACTTGGAAAATTGTATGTCTAGTTGACAACAGCCATCATAAATGTTGCGCCCCTACACAGACAAACACATTGCCTGAAGATAAGTTTTCAAAATAAAGACATCTACCATCCCCTAAAATTTTCCAAGCATGATCACTGTTACATACTTGTAGAGAATTCATTGCTTCCACCGCATTTTGCTGTGATTGAAATTGTATAAGAGCTTGAAAGCCTGCACAGCAAGAAAATACTTATGAGACTGGTGTTAGATTTTTGTATAACTGGAAAAGTAGAATACATGCAGAATGTATACTCACAAGCTCTGATAAAAGTCAGGACGTATATTATAATATCAAGACATAAAATAACTAATGACAATCAGAACAATATAATTATTTAAAGCTATCTCAAAATTCTCAGCCAGATATGAAAGTCAAATCTGTAGAAACACTTTTAATCCAGAAAGTTTGTTTATTAAGAAGAGAGAAGACTTGAAGAAGCTGACCAGCTGACTTCTGAAAGGTGACGATCTTCTCTACAAATCCATATGGAGAAAACACTTGATGCAGCACTTCCACCGTTATAGGATAGAGCATTGTGTGAATAGTGACTAAGAGGATTCGATTGGGTTGCGAATCCTGAGTACCCAACAGCAGACGATCATACAGACAGAAGAGAGAGAGGAATAAATAGAGAAGAATAAGTAGCAAGTAGAATTATTGAAGAGAAGAATTTGTTTAAAGCCTTCACTTATATAAAGAAAGAGAGGAACAAAAGAACTACTCTACTGTCGCGCAAGTCGAATGTTAGAGAAAGAAGAGATAAATTCTTGTCACCATTTATAAACATAGATGCTCTATAAAAAGAAGTTATGATTCTTAACATCATTATATATCCTAGAAGCCACAGAAGAGATCATTACTTCAAGACAACAAGGAAAAGAGAAACTACTCTTCTTCCAATTTAAGGCATCGTTTCACCAATTTACTGAGTTATCATAACTGATGTTTGTCACCCAAGAAAGAAGAGATAAATTCATGCTGCTATTAGAATATATGCAGAATAAATCTTTTATAAGCCATTGGTAGTTCAAATAGAATAAGTAGACCTACTTAAGTATTTAATTGTTAATAGTAAGTCAATGAAGGCTCGCAAAATTCCACAGGCATACTTCACCATTACGCATTCTGTAGAGTATTTTAATGTCATACGCGATGTCACCCTAGTAAATTTTCACATTCATTCTCTAGATTAGTTAAGTTTTGCTAAAGGGAAATTGTCAGCCTAAAAATTCTTATTCAAGAGGTAAGCAGCACATAGAAATATTATAATATTGGACAAGAGTAAGTTGTCAAAACAGCATTGCAAGGGTACCAACAAAAGAGCAACAAAGTTTTCTCAGTAAAGAGCCTATTCCACGGGAAAAAAGATTAATAAAATTGTTGGAGTTAAAAGTGAACTAGGAGGGAGATTTCGGTAATTAAAACAATTTCATATGCAGTACCAGTAAGTGGGCCTGACTCATCAACAAGACAACTAAAATATCATTGACAAACGGGAAAACAATGTCACGAAATAGGAAACATCTTCCTAATGTGATGCCTTAGGTAATTAAGAAGTAAGAAGTCGGTTTAGAATTACACCATGGACAGTCTCAATGGATGATCCAAACTCCTCATTTTGATCCAAATTGTTTATTTATGAAAAATCCTGTGATTGAAACACTTCTTCACTGTTAATCCCAGGTGCCCTATTATTGCAAAAAAAAAAGCCCAATTTGTGACCATCAGCTGCATGATAAGCAGATAAGGTATCAACATTGCATGATCCTCAATAGACAAGTATTACAGTGCACAAAGATCACGACGAACGAAGTAAAACATCCATAGGAACTATTCCAAGAGATTTTACTCTGATTCATTAGGCAACTATCCAATGAGTACGTTAGGGTATGGAAAAGTTGTTTATAGATAGTACTGATGAATGCCCTCTTTAGGTCAAGTACAGAATCTTACAAGTATTACAAAAGTTGTATCCTACATTGCAGTAGAAATAGGGGAATAAATACAGTCTTCAATGGAGAAACAGGACAACATTTGCTAGCAAGAGAAACTACGAGGGAAACAAGTGATGTTCACGCTGCAAAAATATACCATCAGACGAGTAAACCTTCTCGAAAGAAATTAGTTCACAAGATATTCTTTTCATTAGCTAAACAGAATTTTCTTAACAAAAATACAGTCTTTTTTATATTTAACTTTTATTTTTTAGTATTCACAACTTACAAGATTGTAGAGATAATAAAGTCCGTGATCCAGAGGTTTTTTTTTTTGGGTTCAATTGGAAGGTTTGACAATAAAGTCTTAAGTCTATTGACTTTATTGAAGCTAGAGGAAGTCTTAGGGTCAGACCATGAATTAGAAGTTTATATGTTTTCCTATCCATCCTGAGGGCTAAACCTTTCAAAGTGGCATGCCTGATGGGATCAAACAAGAATATCGCCAATTTAGAGACAAAGCTTTTGCCTAATGGTTCTTCTCCAGCAATAGAAAATCTCAAAACGAGTTTTTACCTAGCATCGTAACAAGATGGTACAGATGTAATTCAACATACAGATTAGAAACAGAAAAATCAACAATTCACTCTTTTATTGATGAGAGTGCATCTTATTGGAAGAAGTTACACATAAAATTGCGGTTACTTCACTGGACATATCAATAAATTTTTTGAAGATATCGGAACAACAAGTGGACATTTCAAATGAGCTGACAATGGCTTACCTCAGGCATCTAGTTCATTTAGCCTAACTATATATAATTCAATACTTCATAAAACTGTCATATGACCTAAAAAGTTATTAAACTCAAGCTGAGGCCCAGGTTAGTCATTGTAAAGAAGGTGGCCCCATTAGCGAGAAGGTAGCCTGTATATGACAATAATACCAACATCTACCAATCAATGACGCTTTTCTGTGCAAACCTTTATCATTATGAACTTCCCATCCTAATTGAAATTACTGACTTGTGTCACTTTTCCCACTTGTATAAATGAGCTAGTGACAACTCCATCACTAAGTAGCTGTTGTTATAGTTTACCCAGCAAAAAAACTGAACAGACCTTAAGAACCCTTAATTGATGAATCATTTTGAGCCCAGAGCTAAACATCTTTCCGACTTTCACTAGCCCTTATTGAGTTTTTTTTCCCCGTCTTAATATAGCCTTTTAAGATCCTTAGTCGAAAGGGAAGTAGCAACTTCCTCAAAATAATTTCTCAATCTTCCATACAAATCAGATTATTAACCGATTCAGCAGTAACCCTAATAGAGTTCTGAACCTAAGAAGGTTAAGAAGATGGAGACCATAAGACTCAAATGACCAAAACTGAGTTTTATGTGGGTGATATCACATCCTCTTTTACCTTGGAGATTCTAAATCTCCTGCACTTCCCACAATAACCACTACATTCCTCAGTCATTCATCTTCAGATTATCATAGTATGAAACCAGCTTCATCCCCTTTGGATGTCTGTGCAAGCATAGTCTGATCCTCGACCTCTATACCCTGAAAGAACCTTCTCTCAAAAAGTCAATGAATTTAAGGATGATAGTGCCACCAAAATATCAAATTTGTGTACGAGTCATCAATCAAAGAATTCATATTGTGAGAGAATGTTCTATGGCCTGAGAATAGTACAAAGAACCATCACTGGGCATAGGCGTCAAATATGAAAGCTTAAAGGGATTGAGGGACCAAAGCGCCATATATATACTTGGAGCACCCATCTTGTTCAACAAGCCATCAGGGTGAATACACCTATACAAATAGAGGTACGCCAGATTTGATCACAGACAATAAGTAATTAGTAAATCAAAGGAGATCCACAGATGAAACTCATAATTGTAAACTATGAAATTTGTTCCTAAACATTGATACATTAAAAGTTGACTCATTTCATCAGAAAATAAACATTCAAGCAAATATTTCGTTGAATGTGAAAATAAGCTTATTGAACAGCTTTTATTAGTTCATTCATATATGGCAGTATCACTTATTCAACACTTAACAGCTTATCAAAAGTGCTATAGTATGTGGATGGCCTTATATACTCTTTTTCAGTGTCCCACAGCCCAAACCACCAATTATGAAAGGACACCAAATAGTCCATACACACAATGGCATTACTCAGTTACCCGAAACTAACCTGATCTGCACCCTTCTGTCTATGAGAGTTCTGTTCTGCTGTAGTTAGCTCTTGATGAGACGAGAATTGTATATAAACGTTCCTTCCCCTGAAACATCATCAGGAAAACGAATCCTATAAATATTTGCAATGAATAAATTTATTTTTTCCAGCTCAGAACCGAAGAACAGCTATTATGATATTAGCTAATGAAAAATTACTTGTACCCAGCAAACAATGAACAGAAAAAACAGAAAGTACAGAGCATATTAACACCTAACACTGGGTTGAACGCTTGTATAGTATTCAACCGCACTAACAGCAGAACTCACATCTTCCATCTGAAGAAGAGCCTGTGACCATAGTGAATTCTAATGTTATTTTTCTATTTAATGAGAAATCGATAAATGGGAAAGTAAACAAACAAAAAATTGTAAAAAAAATGACCTGATTTTTTGCCCGTAACATTACAAGCTTATTGACAATGCCAAATTGCTGAACCAGTTCCAGCAAATCATTCTTAAAACAAGAGGAACAGAGAGAAAATTAACAAATTAATGATATGTTACCACAAAAAGTTAGGATTTAGACATGATTTGTAGTCAAAATAAATTATAAAAATGAAGAAATGAAATACCTCAGATATTTCATGACCCACGTTTCGGATGTGAAGAACTTTGGATGGATCTGACATCTGCAACGCAAGTAAATATCAAAAGAAATCTCAAAAATTCGAATATTTGATTCTGAAGTGAAAAGGGAACGAACTCAGAAACCCTAGGAATTAGCGATGGAGCAAATCGAACGAATGGAAATCGCAAGAGATTACCTTGTCGAGTGATTGGAGCTTGATTAGGGTTTTTGAAGAGTCTAACGAGATCAAATCGAGAGCGGAGAGGTTTTGCTTAGGGTTTTCGTATCTCTTCTATTTCACCCTTTTTTTTTAGCCCTAAAATGTTTTTTGAGGGAGGAGATCGTTCGTTAATTCGTCATAAGATGTTTCGCGGATTAGTTTATGCTATACCTTCACGTTTTTTGGTTATTTGCGCTTTAATACCCCAACATTTCACCCATTGTTTATCTGAATAGCCAGATGTTCTATTTTTTGTAATTTCATATCCCAAATAATTAAATCAACGTTAATTTGATAATTTAATATCCCAAGTGCCGTGGTTTTACCCTGTTTCTCACTTCGTCGAAACTGAAACAAATTTTGTAAAAGAACTACTCATCATACATATGTCTATCTTGAAATTATTAAACCAAAAATTAAATCAGCACCCGTGACTTTGGGGTATTGAATTGTCTTGTTTTTAGATACCAATAAACCATTTTTACCTATTTTCTAATAAAGTTTTGATTGAATTCCTCATATATATTTTTTCGCCTTTCAATCTTATGTTTTTATCTTTAATTAGTCGTTCTTCTTGCACTTATTAGTAAGCACATCCCTTAATTTCTTCATCTCATCTAGAAGCGTGGCAACAACTAGTGGCCCGTTCATTGATTGCGGTGTGAAACATCCTTTAAAAGTGGTTTTTAGTATGAAAATATGAATAAAGTCATTCTGCAAAATGGATTCAAATCCTCTATACTGTAAAGAAGTTGTGGATGGACTATTCATTATGTATTGGATGTATGTGATTTTTCTTTGAGTGCTAGGAATGTGTGCAACACATAGGGATATGATGAGTATTGTATCTAAAATAAATCACGATCATCAACTAAATAATCAATGATTATGATCAAAAGTTAGGACAAATTTTCATAACCAACCTATTTTGAATTTTATTCCTAAAAACAGACCCATTTCAAACTTAATTTCAATAACAGACCCAGTTGGCTGAAACCGGGTCTGTTTTAAAAAAAAATTCCCAAACTTCACGGGAGTTGAAGTCCCGTGAAGTTTTTTATATAACAAAACTTTACGAAACTTCAACTCCCGTGAAGTTTGGGAATTTTTTTTTTAAAAACCGACCCAGTTTCTGTCCAACTAGGTCGGTTTTTGAAATTAAGTTTGAAACTGGTCTTTTTTTAGGAATTTTTTGACAAACAGGTTGGGTTTGAAAATTTGTCCTCAAAAGTTATGGTCCATTTACCACTTTTTTAGTGGAGAAAAGATCCAAAGGCCTTCAAAATATCTATCTTCACTATATCTGAATCCAATAACATGATACTGAATAGCAATGTGATAGCTTAGTCTGTATATTTCTCGCGGCTAAATTATCAATTTGACCTATAAAGTGACACTATTTCACCGGGGACACTTTGGCATAAAAAATTTATTGACAATTAGGCATTTCCAGTTACCAGCTATAAGTTTTAAGTGAAAACACAAGGGTTTTTTTATTGTCTAATTGTAGAATTTGGGAGGATCTGTAAATATGGGAGATTAGAAGCGCGTATACGCATAAAATACTTAATTTTCGCGGTCAAACTTGCTGTCAACAATATGAAATGTCTAAAGGTGGCAACTTTGTCACTTTTTATGCCAAAGTGTCGTCTGGATTAATTTATAGGGCAAAGTGGTAAAGGTAGTTGTTGACGGCTAGGTCACACAGTCAATCAAAACCGGACTCGGGGGTGTTCGGCTCGGGCCCTTGCGCCGGCGAGTGCAGGAGGGGCTAGCACGAGAGAGAGGGTTCGACTCCTCCTCCGACTTTATGCCTAGTTCTTGAACTGGGGTATCCGATCATGCTGCACATACAAGAAAAAAAGACTCGTGAGAGGGCGGAGATTGGTTCCCTCATGGTACCTCAGACGGTCAAGTCAGCGGGTGAGCTTGAGTGAGGTTTAAGTAGAATTGTCCAATTGGGCCTAAGGCTCGCGCTGGCCCGGTGCCCGGCCCGGGCCTGGCCGGGTCAGGCCCGACCGGGGCCTGTTTGGCCAGAAACGCGGGCCAGAATCGGGTTCCGGGCGTGTGCTTTGTCGATGCCCGGCTAGCCGCGTTATTATATATATTATATATATATATTATATATATTATATATATTAATTATATATATTATATATATATATATATTATATATATATATATATTATATATATATATATACTAATATATATATATATATATATATATATTATGATATGGTTATTAATATGTGTGTGTTATATAAGTATATTTATATGTGTATATTATAAAATTATAGTTATATAAGTGTATATAAGTGCATAAGTATAATCATATATAAGTATATTTCATTTAATATATATAAAAGTGTATCATATAAGTAAATTGTATAACTGTACTTAAATTAGCATAATGTAAGTATGTAATAAATACATATATAATATATATTTATGTGATTCTCTCTCTCTCTCAAGTTATAACTTATAAGTATATACAATTTGTTTGTGTAATATATGTATATATATGTGTGTGTGTGTACTCTCTCTCTGAGACTCTCTCCCTCTCTCTTAGCATGGTATATATGCTAAGATATAACAATATAAATATATATAATATAGTTATAAGTATAATTATATGTCTATATTATAGAATTACAGTTACATAATTATATATAAGTGCATAAGTATAATTATATATAAGTATATTGCATCTAGTATATATAAAAATATATCATATAAGTAAATTGTATAATTGTACCTAAATAAGCATAATGCAAGCATGTAACAAATACAAATATAACTATATAATACGTATTTATAAATATGTAATATATATTTATGTGATTCTTTCTCTCTCTCATGTTATGACTTATAAGTATATACAATATATTTATACATAACATATGTATATATAATACATAACTATATATATACTCTTAGCATGGTATAGTCGTATAAATACTAAGATATAAGAATATAAATATATAAATAATGTAGTTATAAGTATACTTATATGTGTATATTATAGAATTACAATTATATAAGTATATAGTATAATTAGCATAAGTATAAAAATATATAACTATATTGCATCTAGTATATATAAAAGTATATCATATAAGTAAATTGTACAATTGTGCTTAAATAAACATAATGTAAATACGTAACAAATACATATATAACTATATATAACATATTTTTAAATAAGTAATATATACTTATGCGATTCTCTCTCTCTCAAGTTATAACTTATAAGAATATACAATATATTTACATATAATATATGTATATATAATATATAGTTATATAATAATTTGTAAGTATATACTAATACATAATTATACATAATTATATAAATATAATAAGATTAAACTAATTTTAACAAATTTTTATAAAAAAAAGAAAAGGAAAAAGTGGAAATGACCGGGCCGACTCGGAGCCCGGCCCTCTAGGGTCAGACCGGGCCGAGCCGTTTGGACACCCCTAGGTTTAGGGGAAAGTCGGAGAGATTGTATCTCCCCTATGCGGAGTGCTCTTAGTATTTTTAAGAGAAGAGAGAGAGGAGCTATTAAGAGCTGGTCTCTTTGGCACTGTTTGGCAACAAGACATTGTGTCTTATTTAAGAGATTGTGTCTTATTGACTTGGTCAATAAGCTAGTAGAGCTATTTGGTGATAAAAAATAAGAGGAGATTATTTTGGAGACTGTGTCTTTTGCAAGTAGCTTTTAAAAAGCTACCTCAAGTAGCATTTGTCTTTGGGAAGGAGCTGCCAATTTTTCCTTCCGATTTACCCCTAATAATTCTAATTTCATATCAATAATATTGCATGTTATTTTTAGTCATTTAATAAATTTAAGCTAGCTGTACAGCTACTTTTGCCAAACAGCTCTAGTCAATTAGCTAGCTACACAGCTATCAGCTTTCAGCTACAATTTCACAGCTTTCAGCTAGCTTAACAGCTTTCAGCTAGTTTTGCCAAACAGAGCATTTGTGTGTGTTTGAAGTCTCTTTCTTAGAAAGAGTTTTTTTCTCCTTTGCTTGCCTTGGCTAGCTTGTTTCTATCCCCCCTTTTAGTTAGAGTTATACATGTATATGAAGTGACAGAGTATGTTAACAGTTGAGTCATCCCTTGCTTTACAGACGTCGATTGACGACTGGAGGGGAAATCACTTCGACGTGAGGGAGAGTCAGAATCCACAATTCTCAGGAAGTGACTGAGAAGTGTGGCAGGGGGCGCGCTGGCACCTAAAATGACACGCTAACACCTGAGTCATCCCTTGCTTTATAGGTGTCGGCTGCCAATTGGAGTGGAAGTCACTTCGACATGAAGGTGAGTTAGGCTCCGCAATTTCAGGGAAGTGACTGAGGAGTAGGGGTGCCAAACTGTATCCGTATCCGAGGAAATATCCGTAACCGTATCCGTTAGGATACGAATATGGTTACTCAAATCTATTACCGATAGGATATGGTTGCAGATATGATTTTATAGTGAAATATCTGTATCCGTATCTGAAAAAATCCGAATACATATTGGTAATACTCTTACGATAGTTTCGATTCTTAGATTATGGATTTGTGGTTAATTTTGATGATCAAGATGTCTAATCTTAGCTTTTCAATCATAATGAACATATTAACGAACTCTTTTTGTATCACATGACTATATTTTTCTGAATACTATCTAGTTTTCTCATATCCTTTTTGTATCCGCATACATATCCGTTTATATATCCGCATCTATATCCGTAACCGTATACGAATTTGGCGGATATGAATATGAATTTTTCTTACCGACATATATCCGTATCCGTATCCGTATCCGAGATGGGTAAGCGGATATGGATATGGTAAGTGCCATATCCGAGCCGTATCCGCTCCGTTAACACCCCTGCTGAGGAGTGGCAATGGGGCACACTGACACCTGAAATGGCACGCTGGCACATGATGGAACAAATCATTTATGTTGTGGTGGCAGGGTTATGATGAGACTTGTCTTAAGACTATAGGATTCGATAAGCATTCATAAGAAGGTGCTTAGAGTTGGTCTTATCCTTTAGCTTTGGCAAGGAGTGCCAATTCTTGAGTCGCCCTTATTAGTCCGTCGTGTAGACGATCGAGTGGAATGGTCGAGATCGAGTGGACGGTCGAGTGACGCTAGATGAGGCGGTTTTCGATAGGGGGATCAGCTGATCCTGCCTTTCGAGTCGACACGAGTGACATGGTCTCGACAAGTCGGCGGGGTCGAGACTTCTGATTGGGCTTTGGCCGCCAAGCTGGTTGGGGTCAGTTTGCTAGAGCTATAACTGCATTACTTTGTCAATACATGTATTTTAGGCGAGTGAACACCATAACAATAGCCCAATTTGGTAATTTAGCCTTTTTCTTGCACTAGTTGAGATGCACGTGCAATACACGTGGTTGAATATCATGATTATTTAAATTAATAACAATAGAGTAAAAATAAAAAAAATAAAGTTTTTTTGTGGGATTGGTCATCAATTCAATAATCTCTTTTTTAAATAAAAGATTATTATTGTTTCCTTTAACCCAGACTGTGGTCACGTGATCTACTATTTGTGAATTATAAACACATTAATCTAATACAACACATCTATTTATTAGTATTTTGAAGTCTTCAAAAGATGGATGATCATTCAATTTGTAAAAAAAATTTGCATATAAATTTACTTGCAATATGTCCATTAAAGTTTTAGTTGTGGTTTGACTCATATTCACATTAACTTTTAGTTATTGTTTCACTCATATTTATATTATCTAATATTCTCATTCAATTTTATAGCACATTCTTTGTATCATAGAAGTAAAATTGAAAAATTTATATTATCTAATATTCTCATTCAATTTTATAGCACATTCTTTGTATCATAGAAGTAAAATTGAAAATATAAAGAATTATTTTCTTACGAAATTAGAACAGGAAGATTATGATATATTTCACTATGTGCTCTAAATATATTTTTTTCTTTGATACAAGGTCCCTATCAAATCTTATCCTAAACGATGTGAATAAAAACTACTATTATAACTCACTTGCCTAGGGCAATTATATTGTATATAGGATACATAACTCATCTGGAATATCCACATCTGCTAAGTGGATTTTGTTGTTGTGAGAGCAACATGTTAGAGGCTCGTATTCAAACTTTTTGACTCTATAAAAGACACAAGAATTTGGAGTGCATAGCTTATATGTCGTAATGAACATATTTATTCGCGAAGAATTTTTCCAATAACGATATTATTACAGCGATATTACTATATATGATATTTTTAAATAAATTATAAAGTATATATATGGAAAACTCAATGCTTATAGTCAGTAGTTGGGCTCCACAAAATATGTTAACTTTACATTATAGTTTGCTATTTATAGTATTATTGACAATGTCATTACCTTTCCTTTTTATCTTATTATTCACATTTTTGTGATGTAAGTTCTCTTTTGCTAATCACTCAACTGAGTATATTTAGTTTTTATAATATCAGATGTTAGAATATTCTCTTCTACTTAAATAGTATTGATATCTTTTTTTAAAAAATATATACACATATTAACAATAGTATGTACTTCAATTCAACTCAAACATTGGCTTGAAGCCATTTAGAGTGAGGTCCTTTCTACGCTAAAATGGTGATATAGTGATTACAGAGTCTAAAAGTCAAAGAAAAATTTCTACAAAAAAGAAATAATTTAATGTGTCAAATTAAGAAGTAGTTTATAAATTATACATGGGCAGTGCAGATAGCTATAAAACGTAATGTATATATCTTCATAAAACTTCATAGTGAGTGACCAACTATAATCATCCTAATTTAAGCATAATTAATTATTATTTTAGTTACTAATTTGATACGCTTAACTATGAAATAAATCTCCAACAAAAATAAAAATAGAGACTGTATTATATATACTGTAGGTAAATAAATAAATGTTATTAGAGCTTCTCTTTATATTAAATTTAAAAGTAATAATTTAAATTATTAAGCACCAAATATTAGCTCATGTGAGAAAGTAAAGTAATCTATGGTCTATATACGTTTATAGTCAATCAATCAAACGTATTAAATTTATGATGACCACAATCAATATTATATGGTGAGTTCACATTAAATATAATTTACAAAAAAATAGTACACTAAATCAAAAACTTTTTAACCACTATATAGATTATCTGAAAATTTTTACATATATAAACTATATTGCCTAGGAATAGTGATGTGCGCACTTAACTATGGTCTAATAATCTTATCGTCATTGTTTCCTTCAATCCAAACTGGTCTATTATTTGTGAGTTATAAATATATTAATCTAGTACAACATCTCTATTTATTAGTATCTTGAAGTCTTCAAAAGATGGGTGACCATTCAATTCGTAAAGGAATTTTTATATAAAATTTTTGCATATATAAATTACACTGCCTAGGAACAGTGATGTGTTGTACACTTAATTATAGCCTAATAATCTTAAGAACGACTTACTCTTTAATATCATCATTAATTAATGTATTTATGCATTACACTAAAAACACAATAAAAATTTAGAAAACTACAAAAGAAACACCCTAAATTTTTTTAAAAATTGTAAAAAAACACCATAAAAATTTGTAATTTACAAATACTCAAAACTATTAAATATTAATTGAAATCAAGAAATTACAAAAAATCATTAAAAATTTTTCAAACTTTGGAGAGGTAATTTGCAATGTGCTAAACTTTAAGTGTGTTTTTTCTATAAATTTAAATTTTAATAGATTTTCAATCATTTATGTTCTTTTTAAAAAAGTTACGGGTAATTTTGACCATGAAAGGTTTTTCCTAAATCTATACTTTTAAAGTGAGTATGATATTTTTTTTTATAAAATTTTATTTTTCTAAGGGTTGTTAGTAATTTTGTATATTCATTTTTGTGTCCATAGGTTAGAAATTCTCATGATATTTTTTATAAATTATAAAAATTTGGGGCTTTTTGTAAATTTTTAAACTTATAAGCATTTTTTACAGATTATAAATTATTTATAGACTATTTATAATTCCTATGCTTTTAATTTACTAATGAGTTTGAAATTCTCAGGGTGTTATTTATAAATTTTGAATTTTAAGGTTTTGCTTGTAATTTTTAAAACTTTAATAGTGTTTTCTTTAAATTATAAATTATGTAGGGGATATTTGTAATTCTTATACTTTCAATGTACTATTAGGTTAGAAATTATCAGAATTTTTATAAATTTATAATTTTCAGGGTTTTATTTTACAATTTGTAAAAAGTTTAGTGTTTATTGTAAATTCCATAAAATTTTGGGAGTTTTTTGTGTTATTTGTAGAATTTGTAAAAAGTTTAGTGTTTATTGTAAATTCCATAAAATTTTGGGAGTTTTTTGTGTTATTTGTAGGTTTTTAGTGTGTTTATAAGTTTAAATTTTTGAAGGTGTTTGTTTATAAATTTTGAATTTTTAGGGGTCTTTTTGTAATTTTTAAAACTTACAAGATATTTTCTCCAAAGTTAAAAAACTTTTAGTTTCTACCTAGCATATATCTTTTAGATTCTCACTGGATTAAAATAACCAAAATTTATAATTTTTTAAGATGTTTTAATAAAATTTTAAATTTGTAGGGGTGTTTTTGTAATTTAAAAAACTTAGAGGATTTTTTTACAAAGTCCAAAAAAATTTAGGTGCTGGCTAGCATATGTTTTTTAGATTTCTTTATCAAACGTATTTTCTTTATCCAAATAAGTAAAGGATTTGAATTATATCAAACATATTTTTTTATCCAATAACATGTTAAGTCTCATTTTAAATATGATAAACCACTTAATTACTAATTCAAAGAAGATAAGATAATTAGAATAGATTAGGATAATAATGTAATATTTAAAAAAGTTGAGGGTAATACTGACCATAAAAAGATTTTCCCGAACTCGTACTTTTAAAGGGAGTATGATAAGGGGCTGTTTGGTTCGCTATTATAAGGGGTGGAAAACTCAGAAAACCACTCCACGTCAGATTTTTAGCCCTCCACGTCAGCTTTTTTGTTTCCGTCAATTTCTTTGTGCCGCTTTGGTTCGCTCGAATGGAAGAGGAAAAACTCTGCTGAAATCGCCGCCAACTAAGATTTTTTTCTCTCTCCGATTTCCTTTCCCAACCAAGTGAAATTGATAAAAACTCTGACACGTCAGATTTTTTTCCTTCTCTGCTTTGTTTACAAAAGTTTTCTTTTTTTTTTCTATGCGAACCAAACACAAGAAAATAAATACATTGGTTTTCCATCATTTTTTATGTGCTAACCAAAGCAAAACAATCTATTTCTTAGAAAAGTTTGAAAAACTCAAAACTTGTATTTCTTTACATGGAATTGCATTTCTCTATATCAAGGAAACGAACCAAACAGCCCCTAAATTGCAAAGAATTTTCAATAACCATGCTATAATAATTATTATTTTTTGGCGAAGAAGCCCAGCTCGTTGAGTACAAGAGGTCATGCGATCCAAGCCCAAGCCCAACTCCAACTCCAAAATAGAAGTAGGGGCACTTTAGTCTTTTCGAAGCAGACCCCTCCCATTTGCAGCTATATAATCAGTGGTTAGGGTTTTTCATTGAAACCCTTGAACGGGGAGCCGTCGATGCGAAGCAGAGCAGGTCAGTGATCTTTTTCTTTTTCAGGGTTTTAGGGTTTGAATGTGGACCGAAATCCCAATCCAAAGAACCAAATGAAATAATTTTAATAACCATTAATTCTAATTTATCTGATGCCGATATGATAGCTCGATTATATATATATTTTTAAATTTTGCTACAACTTTGAAAAAGTTCTGATTTTGTGATGCAGATATTGGTGCCTTTTTATGAGTTATAAATTATAAATTTATCGTTTCTAGAGTTTAATATTAACTTATCACTATTATTAAATAAATTGAATGCATAGTGTCTTAGGGTTTCTGTGGCGATTTAAATACCATTTTAACATACATTTCAATGTTCACTTTTAGTTTTAATGTTATAAAAAATGAAGAAAGTTGTGATTTTTGTATTTGAGAGCTTGATACATATTCTGGGCCTATTGTGTTTTAATCTTATAAATTGTTTGCTTGTTGATCAGGTTGTGGTATTAAGTGGTTACTTTATTGAATTGATTGAAACGACAGGTTGAAGGAGGAAGAGGAGGATGTCTCACAGGAAGTTTGAGCACCCAAGGCACGGGTCCCTTGGTTTCCTCCCAAGGAAGCGAGCTTCTCGCCACCGTGGAAAGGGTAGGTTTTTTTTTCCATATTTTGATTTGATACGAATTGAATCGGATGTATTGTCTAATTTTCTCTTATTAATTAATTACAGTTATCGATATCCCGCGATTATGTTATGTTTTATGTAGCTAGGGCTGATTATTTATTGTTTCATTAGGCTTCAATTACAATCAAGCACTAAAGTATTGTGTTATACTTGTAGTTTATGATCTTTTATATAAGATATTAGCACTTCGTAAGGGTACAAATGCTAAGAAGATGTATTCGCTGTTCATCTTAATGCGTGTGAAAAGATCTCGAAACTATTCAATATCTACTAAAGCTTGATATGTCGAGTTTAACTTGGAGATATCTTCTTTGTATCTATATGCTCTGGCTTCCATATGAACCTAAATTCCTGCAGAAAAGCTGTTTTATGCAATGGGTTGTTGTAATAGAATATATTTTTGATAATTTCTTCTTTTGAGTAAATTTTAGACATAAAGCTCATAATTTGCGAAAACTTGAGTTTCAAATTGATTATTTGATATTTTAGAAGAACAAGTTGTCAAAAAGGTCTGTTCCATTGGTTTTGGAAGTTCGACTCATATTTCAGAATGGGTTTCATTGAAATCTATCTTCAGGGTGGTTTTCCAATCTCATTGTGTTCTAAAATTTAGTTATTCTATTACAATGTTTTTCAAAATTAAATCGTAGTTTTTTTCAGATTTTTAAAGCTGATCTTGTATATGTATCTGTTGACATGCTTAACTTTATGGTCCAGAATATTTCCCTGTCTTTCACTTATTGGTAGTTGTTTATCAAGAATTTGCCTGTCTGTTCATAACTGATTTGTCTTTGTCATTTCTGGCTGCAGTGAAGTCCTTCCCCAAGGATGACCCAACAAAGCCTTGCAAGCTCACCGCATTCCTTGGTTACAAGGCTGGAATGACTCATATTGTCCGTGAGGTGGAGAAGCCTGGATCAAGTAAGTGATTGATAACGAGATTTTATTTCACTGTTGCTTTAGGGGTCAATCATTGCGGAGGGAAACAGATTGATGTTACATTATCGATGTATTTTTTCCTAAATCTTCTAATCTTGTATTCTGATGATGTTTTCTAAGTGCAATGTTTTCCCGGCGCTTTACATTGTTCCCCCTGTCAACTTCCTACTTCACATTTTTATTTTGTGCAGCTGTTTTGCTGCTTCGTATGCATGCTCTGTTAACCTTACTGCAAATTCTTGCACCGCGATCTTCTCTTGGCACGTGAAAATTTAGATGTACTTTTTGGATTTCAATTTTTCCCACAATGTGCTTGACAAAATCTAATTTTCTACGACTTTGCTTTTTATGCATATTTTTCATTTTTTCTATTTCCATAATATACAGTGCTAATTTTTATTTTTTAAAACTTTTTATTGTAACTAGTACTATTCCACCAATGCATATTGAACAATATATTCTCCTCTCTCAATAAAATTTTTAATCGACTATTAGCACATTATGTGCTTGAACTGGATGACCCTGGAGTATTAAACTTATTTTACTCATGTTTGTTTAACTTATTCAATGTCTTGGGCCTCTTCATGATATTGCTTGACATGCAGAGCTTCACAAGAAGGAGACATGTGAGGCTGTTACAATTATTGAAACTCCTCCCTTGGTTGTCGTTGGGGTGGTTGGCTACGTGAAGACTCCACGTGGTCTTCGGTCTCTCAACACTGTATGGGCTCAGCATTTGAGGGGTGGTTGGCTACGTGAAGACTCCACGTGGTCTTCGGTCTCTCAACACTGTATGGGCTCAGCATTTGAGCGAGGAGGTCAGGAGGAGATTCTACAAGAAGTCTTCGGTCTCTCAACACTGTATGGGCTCAGCATTTGAGCGAGGAGGTCAGGAGGAGATTCTACAAGAACTGGTACAGATCCAAGAAGAAGGCCTTCACCAAATATTCAAAGAAGTATGAAACTGAGGATGGCAAGAAGGAGATTCAGACTCAGCTTGAGAAGATCAAGAAATATGCAAGTGTTGTCCGTGTGCTCGCCCACACTCAGGTTGTTATTTCATGTGGTTTTTTTTCCGTATGCTGTGATTTCCTTATAAAAGTAGTATTGTTGTTTTATCTTAATAGATTTTTTTCTAGATCTCAATGTTCTCTATAGGATTCAATGTTCTAGAGCTATCTGATATGATCTCGCTGTCCACTGAATGACTGTTTGGGTCATCTTAACATGGCAACTTCTACTCTCTAGTTTCTTATCTACCAATAAGTATTTTGAGTGGAGAATCCATATACTGATGAAATATATATTAGATAAACTATAAATTTGAAACTAAATTCAAATTAAATTAATATCTTTGTTGGCACTGCATTTCTTGCTCCATCATTTAGCAATGTTAGTTTCTTATTTGATGGCATTCCATGTATATGCCTTTAATAATAATGTTTCTACAAGTCATATACAATAATATCTGCTTCTATCTATTTTCCTGCTGTGTTCTGGATTTTGTAATTAAATTGGTAGAATCTAAGGATGTTGTCCTTTTTTCTCTCCTCTTCTTTATTTATCTTACAACGAAGTTTGCTCTGTTTTTGTTGTCCTTCAGATCAGAAAGATGAAGGGTTTGAAACAGAAGAAAGCCCATCTCATGGAGATTCAAGTGAATGGTGGAACTATCGCGGAGAAAGTTGACTACGCTTACAGCTTCTTTGAGAAGCAAATCCCAGTGGATGCTGTTTTCCAAAAAGATGAGATGATTGATATCATTGGTGTGACCAAGGGTAAGGGTTACGAGGGTGTTGTCACTCGTTGGGGTGTCACCCGACTTCCTCGTAAGACTCACAGAGGTCTCCGCAAGGTTGCTTGTATCGGTGCATGGCATCCTGCTAGGGTATCTTTCACTGTTGCTCGTGCTGGTCAGAATGGATATCACCACCGTACTGAGATGAACAAGAAGGTCTACAAGCTTGGCAAGGCTGGAGATGAGTCTCATACTGCTGTGACTGAGTTTGATAGGTAATTTTCTAGTATATTTTTAGTGTAAAATTTACAAAACCCCTCAAACTTTCAAAATTATGTTAAAACCCCTTTGAACTATTTAAAAAACTCATAAATGGTGTTAACAGAAAG